ATAAAGAAGATGTTGATGACACAAGGAGTTCATACCAATGTTTGTAAATGTTGTTTTTGTACGATTGCTACAACCTGTAGTTGTTGAATCATGCAATATATCGGTGAAAACTGCATTCAATTCTCTGCATTCGTTTTCGAGTGATGCGCGTGCAAACATACAGACAGACAGACACAGACAAAAATTCTAAAGATGGTTGGTTTGGCTTCTGGTGCTCTTATAAAGACCCCCACATTAATTTTTCTTTAATATCTATAGTGTACAGACATCGACCAGTTACAATTTTATTATATGTATTTTGTCAACCTCAATATTTTTGAGTTTTGGGAAAATGTAAGAATCACCAAAAATTTTTTTAATTAACCACTGTTCTCAAACATATACAACATGTCTCAAGGAGCGTTGTCAATTGCATATTCTTCAGCCAATGTTAAAAGGATCCTCTCCATACCGAAATTAATAAAAATAAAATGTCGAAATAGACTTCAAATCATATATGTAATACTTCTATATTGATAGTAAGCTAACATCTCAATGTGTAAGCATTCCGAAATCAAAGCGAGACAGTCTCCCAGCAAACATTTGGAGTCGTAAATGAGTCTTTAAGGAGTCCCATTTCGGAGCCTTTGTGCTCAAAATGAGCTCATTTAAGAGTCCAAAATGAGGGTGTTTCCCTTCCTGCGAAGGTCGACCTATATGAGCTTAAATTCATACATCAAATGAGCCTCAATATGAGTCATATTGGACTCTTATTGGCCTCATATACGGCTCATTTTGGACTCTTTTTGTAGCTCTTAAATGACTTATTGGCCTCATAAATGCCTACTTTCGGAGTCTCATTGTATGCTGTTCTGTGACTCTTATTGGCTTTATTCTTCAACTCTCTTAATGAACTTACTTTAGAGCCATGTTAGCAAGGAATTCATTTCAAATACTGTTGCATATTTATATACAAACCTCTGCGCATACATATATATGTACATATATTGCAGCATTCATGTTATAGCAGTTGCTGCAGCTAAATTTTGTTTATTTTTCCTTCCTAATTATTTTTCATATCTGTATAAACAAGTTTAGATATAAATTTCTAGTCGTTATTGTTTTTATACTGCTGGCTCATAACTTGGATCATATATGACTCCTAAAAGATTCATATAAGAGTAAAAAAATTTTTGTTTTTGAAACTCATATTTCTTACCTACCTAGGACTCCTTTCCGACTCATATATTCTGAGCGCTCAGAATACCCTGCAGGGAAACCGCGGACTAGTGAATCAAATTTCTAGCTCCGTACTACGTCTTTATCGCCAAAAAGGAACTAGTCCGATAGGAACTAGATCCCCACCAGTCCAAAATCGGCGAAAAGTGGTACTTTTAAGAAACTAATTTTTTCAGTTTTTTTTTCACTAGAAATCTATATCTAAAGTGACGAATTAGAAATGGTTCGGAACTATAGAAAAAGGGATGCAGAACGAACTAGATCCTATTTGTCGAATTTAGAACTATTTCGGAACTATGGAATAAGGGATGCAGCGGGGGGCTTGTTTACTTTACATAGATATGTGTTCGGCGGCTTTTTCGTTCAAAAACGCTTCTATTCTGTGCTTCGCAGATGCTATTTCATAGTTTGGTAATACAAAACAAAGCTTTGTGTTAACATATTAACATCTTGGGGCTGTCTGGAATCTAACCAATAACAGCGAGCACCTCTGCAAAGACAGCTACAGCCAAAGGTATGTAAACGTACATTTCTTACAATCATTCAAACAAATTTAATTTCAAATTTGAAAAAATGTTTCTTTGAAAATAATGTAAAATCGTACACGGAAGAACCGAAAAGATTGAAAAATCATAATACCTTTTTCTTTCACCTGTCGATTTTAGAACTGGTTCGGAACTATAGAATTTAGGGCTAGTTCGGAACTATCGAAAAAGGGATGCAGCGGGGGGCAATTGACACTTCCTAGGACATCGCCATGTTAAATTCGCCAGTTGCTTGCATGCAAAAGAGATTTATCGCGAACCAGTACTGGGTCTAAATGTACTAGAAGCGCCCCAGTTCAGAACTAGAGATTTTCCCCACAGGGTATGTTTGCGGGGCTAGTACTGTTTTTGTCAATGTATTGTGTACTTGAGTGCCGGTTTTGTATATGTGTTGTGTACATGTTTATTTATAAATGTGTGTGTTCCTTTTCTTTCGTACGTGTTTATTGATATATCTGTACTGTAGTGTTTTCGGACGGTACTAGCTCTTACTGCCAATATAGGAGTATTACATATATGCTTCAAATAGAAACAATTTCCTCTTTACATAACATTGATAAAAAGTTCAGGCACAGTAGAAACTACGAGTAATTATTGCTGGATTAGTAATTTGCACTTTGTAAATTCAAAAATATCCATTCACTGTAAATCTTTATGTTTATAAATATTTATGTACTTACATACATGCATTTAAAATCATAATCACCCCTATTGCGAGAGTCGACTGCTAGTAGATAAATGACTGTTCGATTATCGCTTTTCCATGGTATTGCAAACGTAGATGCCTCGTTCAATAAGTCAGTGTGAATTAATTATAGGCGTTCGTCCTTCTACAAACAAACAGCTGAAGAAGGATGAGCGACTAAAAACTATTCACAGTCGCTTATTGAACGAGGCATCTACGTTTGCAATACCATGGAAAAGCGATAATCGAATAGTCATTTATCTACTAGCAGTCGACTCTCGCAATAGGGGTGATTATGATTTTAAATGCATGTATGTAAGTACATAAAAAGCGATAATCGAATAATAGTCGTTTATCTACTACTAGTCGACACTCGCAATAGGGGTGAATATCTGATGTAAAAGTGCGTAAACGTTTATGTAAATAAAATAAAGGTAATATGTTTCTATATTTTTAGCAATTATTTGTACTTTATTAGAAACAATAATTAAACACAAGTTGTACATAATAACTAAATATATGAAAAATAAAAGGAATCAAAATTTGGTACAATTTAGTGATAAAAAGTACACTTTGAATTACATTTTCATACAAAATTGGAAAATGCAATTATCAACACTGGTACATAGTACGTACCCATGAACCAACGACTACAGATCACGTAATCCGCCATCGTTGTATTTGTAATCGATTTTCAGAAAAAAGTTTTCGTAGCGTTTTTGATGTTTTTTGGTTCTGTTTACATCGTCTTCTACCTCTTCGTAGTGATATTTTAGCGATTTTATGTGTTTCCTGCAGCGGTTTTAATTAGAAATTTTGATTTATTACAAATTTATGATATAATATGAAGTGCTTTGTGATTGGAACAAGTTTGTGCGTCTGTTTGATTTGCAAAGAGGCGTAAATTTGCGTGAAAAGTGGGTGCACATTTGTGGTCAGAACGTTGGCATTGAAAAATCGGCCGGTGCCGATAATATGCGATTGTAAAACACTCTCAATCATTAAAACCATATTTTATGAACTTTTTTTGCTAATTGTCATCAAGTTTCACTTTTTATATTTTATAATAAATACAAATCTAATCGCACTCAATAACCGCGCCTTTTTCGTTTTCTTTGTTTGTTTTCATTTTTAGGCAGATGTCAAAAACGCTCAGAAATTTACTTTTTTCATTCTTTTCCGATTGCGTGATCTTCTTAGTTGGTTCATGGTACGTATGCATGTATATGCAAATAGATATCGTCACCAAACACGAATAAAGGCGCGATAGTGTTTTGACGGCGAAAAAAGGCGCATAAACAAATAGTCTGTTCCAATAGCAGTCCGGTTTACAGGATTTAGTCAGAACTTACAGGAAGTCGTTCCTATTGACATAAAGCCTGTAAGTGGGAACACATTTGAGAGAGTAACTGAGCAACTGTTCCTAGTCAGAAGTTACAGGATTTAGTCCAGAGTTTCTTTTACTGTAAGTTCATGAAAAGTGTCAAACGGTCAGCTGATTTGCATGTGCAAGCAAAAACTAACAGCGGTGAAAGCAAAGTACCTTATATTTGTAAAAAAAATTGAAGTAAACAACGAAATGTTTGAATATGTATAGATTTTAATAATTTTTAGTGATATTTCAGCTAAATCAGTGTTGTACAAATGACATGTAAACAAACCGACTGACGTTTTTACAGGAAATAGTGCTTTTTGCGTTCCTATGCACTTCTGCATCTGTTCTCCTTTTACTCTCATTTGAGAGAGTAAAATTGTAGTTTGACAGTTCCACAGGTTTTAGTCCGAAGTTCAAAGGAACAGACTAATGTTAAGATTTTTTAACGCTAAAGTTTTTTTATGCGTCTTTTTTCGCCGTCAACTTTTGAGCTCGCGCCTTTATTCGTGTCTAGTGACGATCAGTGGTGCCAGATGTCCGGATTTCGCTTCATTTTGGGTATTTCTGAAACCATTTGGGGATAGATTTTTTCGTTTGGGGATGTGGGGATTTGATGGGGATTTTTGTTTGGTTTAAAATATTCATATTGAAATTAAAATACATACATTTTACTGCCTGCCCTTAAACATTTCTCAAACAAAGATTATCTTTGTCAAAGCATTATTATTAAAGTGGCAAGCGCTCAAAAAAAATTTGACGAACTTACAGACAGCAATGGGAATAGGAACCTTGGGCCGAAGGTATGTTGTTAAATAGTCTCCAAAAACCATAAAAAATAAGAAACCGCTATACGTAAATAACCAAATGATCTCATATATATGTACACATATACATCTGTGAAAATTTATAATAGAAAAGTATTCAAAACTGTAATTAAAATGAACTAACAGAAATGAGAATACATAGTTTTTTATTTCTTAATTAAGGGGATTTAAATGGGGATTTAGAAGAAAAATGGGGATTTTTTGGGGATAACTGCGGCTCGATATGGGGATGCGCTATACCATAATTCTGGCAACACTGGTGACGATATGTGCTTGCATAAATATGCACGTATTTTCAAGAGTCGGAACATGCCTAGACGATAAAGCAACCTCATGATTTGAAAGAAAACCACTTTTTTACGCGTAAACGACGGGACTATATTCTTTATTAATACATCTTTGTATGTATGTACATAAATACATATGTGTGTATGTACATAATTATGTACGACATGCTAATTTAGACAATTTTTAATTAAAATTTATACAGATTCGCGTTTCAGACTATTTTCTCAAAATTAATTATATTGGTTGTTTGTTCGAGGTATTAAAATCCAATATTTTAAAATAACCGCTAATTTAAACTTTAAGACATGAAACAAAGAAGTCAATGTAAAGAATAGAGTACAAAAAATTAATATACAAATTTACTAATAGTCACAACATTTATGTTTGCATTATATTTTTGATGTAATTCAAAACATCATTGTGCGCTAAAACACCCATATGGTCTACTCCATTTAAAGCTACGTTTGTAATATTGGCACTTTGCCGTCCGATCCAAGCGTGGCAAGCGCGCAACGAACGTTGGTTTACGGTACCATCGCCTTTTCCCATTACCAACTTTGGTGTCTCGTCAGCGATTGTGTCTTTCTTGTATCGCAAACTAAAACGTAAAAGCATGTAAATTGTTCATATCTATATTATAATAATCATCATCGATTCGCCAACAGTTAGAGAGAGGCGAAACGAACGAACTCAATGACGTACAATCACACTCGATATCGTCCGTCCTTTAGTCTGTTCCAATAGCAGTCCGGTTTACAGGATTTAGTCAGAACTTACAGGAAGTCGTTCCTATTGACATAAAACCTGTAAGTGGGAACACATTTGAGAGAGTAACTGAGCAACTGTTCCTAGTCAGAAGTTACAGGATTTAGTCCGGAGTTTTTTTTCCTGTAAGTTCATGAAAAGTGTCAAACGATCAGCTGATTTACATGTGCAAACAAAAACGGAAATCGGTGAAAGCAAAGAACCTTATATTTGTTAAAAAATGGAAGTAAACAACGAAATATTTGAATATGTATAGATTTTAATAATTATTTAGTGATATTTCAGCCAAATCAGTGTAGTACCAATGACATGTGCTTTTTGCGTTCCTACGCACTTCTGCATCTGTTCTCCTTTTACTCTCATTTGAGAGCGTAAAATTGTAGTTTGACAGTTCCACAGGTTTTAGTCCGAAGTTCAAAGGAACAGACTACTTACTAGCTAACTTTGTTGTTGCCATGGCGAACTTATACAAGGTGGTGTTACTGGCGAATTTAGATTACAACAACGACAACCACATGTATTTTGTATGAAGGGTGTTATGTCAAATCTCAATTCGCTCCAAAGTTTACATGTATTTTGTTCTTGCTTTTGATGGGTGTGCTGTCAAATCAGTAAAAGCAAAAACAAAATATATGTAAGGCGATGAAATCAGCTGATTTTACAACACCACCTTGTATAAATTCGCCTTGGTTGTTGCCTTCACATACAAAATTTTTCGTTAAGCGAACAGAACTCAAACATAGCAAGCAGTGAAGTGGCGAATCGATGACAGCTAATATCGCCGTTTAAAGTACAAAACCGCCTATCGTCGTTCTACAAAACCTCGTTAATGGCATTTGTGCCAAAAAAGATATTTGCTCATCGGAAGCTAAAATATCGATACTTAGATATAAGTTCAGATAATTAGGGATAAAAAAAGAGAAGCGTTTTGAAATAGGACTACCTTTACTACTCTCTCCTACAATATCTTGGCAACCTCACATACGTGGTTTTGTATTTTCTTGATACGTGGTTTTGTACTTTAAACGACGATATATATTTACACAAATTAATTGACATACCGCTCGACGGTGTCCAAACCATCACCATAGAGACAATGTAATTCTACATCTGGCGGACTAAAATTTAATGTGAAATGCATATTGTCTTGTCGCATATCCCATCCAATTGTGTAATCAATATCAGAAAAGAATTGCTTCAGCTGTGACATTGTATATACGCGTGACGGAGTTTCCACCAAGACTTCGGACGGGCGCCAAAAGAGTGGTGATGGTAGCAGCCATGCGGTGGAAGGATTAGTTATTTGTTCTTGTTTTAAAATTTTTCCACTGAGGAAGAATGAATCCAAATCATCGCCTAAAAATAATAAATAATATAGTTTTCTTTTTTGAAATAGGTACACTAAAATATAGCTATTTGTAAATACAGCGTGGTCATATTGTGAATTCAAACATTCCCATTATATATGGAACACGATTTAATTCATGCGGCTGCTTCGGATGGCTTCGCAGTAGCGCATCGTGTTAACCCAGTTTTTCCAAGAGCTTAGAGTTAATGAATGCCACGGCTGCAAAATCGCCATCCAACCGTCACTCTCTGATGATGCATTGGTTTCTCAACGATCATGTGCGGATTATGATATCCCCAGATGCAGCAGTTGTGCCGACGTTCCCACGACAGTCGGTTCTACGTAACTGGAACGACCCAGATTTATATTTGGCCAAGGACTGTCACTCCAGCAACACTCCCCAAAAACTCTTTGGGGAGCTTGTATGCTGCTACAACAACAACAACAACGAGATGAAAATGCGCTTAGTCAGAAAATATGATTTTTCGAGCAAAATCGTTGTCCAATAAAATAACATATTGTTGTTGTTGTTGTTGTTGTAGCGGCTACAACAACCCCGCCCAGATCGGCTGATATCTCAGTCGTTGTCGCCGAGTTCCACTAACGGCAGCCCCAAGAAGCGTGCAGCCTCTATGGGGTCGGTCTATAGGGATATGTTATAGTTGGGTGGTTCCCAAGGTGTCGTACTTGCCGTATTGTTGTATGTTGTTAAGTTTTTAACGGCTAAATAAATGTTTAGAGGACTTGAAATCACCACCAACTATTTTTTAATTGTGTGAAATTTCATAATAAAACTTTTATGTTAGCTTGCGAATTCCTTAAATATAGTTTTAGCCGTTTAAAATTTTTGACATACAACAGTACGACAGTATACAACGCCTTGTGAACTCCCTAAGTATATGTAATCATATATCATATATCGTATATATTATTCAGTAAAAGACTACTACAGTGCACGTCAATAATGTGAACAAATTAAAACCAGGCGAGTTCACATTTGCGCATTTGTTCACTTTACATATATGGAACACCCTTCACGTGTAGAAGGAAAAGCGAAATACCATTTCGCAATGCTGCCGGATAGATAACAGTTTGCCGTTTCTATTCCTGTCGGGCCTGTGTAAACGTACCGACCCAAACTTATACTTGGCCACGGGAAGTCTCTTCAGTAACCGAAAACTGTTTTGTTCGTATTTTTCAGTAAAATAAAAGCAACTTTCGTGAAGAATTACCTAATTCTAAAAATAGAGTTTACTCCCTTCTTAAGCTATAACGGACTACTGCTTGTATGCATGCATGTGTGTGTATATATTTATTTATTTAATGACTCACCCATTGCAAACACCTTGACAGCTTTCATGCTACCCGCCCAAGCACCAGCGAGACTTATTTGCCTCTTTATATATTTCCGTCGCCACTCTGTGGTTTGTTGATGCAGAAACACTAATGTCATTGGGCTTCCCATGCTGTGCGATATAAATGTTACTGGCAATTTTGAATTACGCTCATATGTATCCTCTACTAGCTTTTTCAAATCAATAAAGAATTGGTTATGTTCACCTATACAAAGTTTAATATGAAGTTATATGATATACAATAATAAAAACAAATTACTTGGTCCTTTGCGGAAGTCGTACGGCGCACCGTGTATGTTCTTTTTTCGCTCGTATCCCAAGTCGACAAGCACATTCGCAATATCCTTAAAGTACGCCCCCGCTTTGTTGTGTGTCGGGTCTATCCATTCCACGACATCAGGGTCTCCCCAACCAGGAACGCGTATATCTACACCAGGTGAATTGTGCGTAGTTCTGGTAGCTTTGTCGTAATATAATTTAATATTTTCCACCCAACAATAAACTGGCGGTACAACCAATAATTCTAAGTTCAACCATAGGCTATACCAATTGGCTTTTTTTGAGCAATATAAGGGCGCATCTGATTTATTCAGTTTAGCCTCCAATTGACTACCGCCATCACCAGGAACTACAAAAAAAAACGTTTGAAATTGTACTATATATATATCTATACTAAATACAACTTACTAAATATTACCGGGGACAATGGTTTCTTTTGATTAAAGGATACCACATGACACACCTCTGTAAAAATTATAAGAAGTAATGGCGTGCAACCGATGAATATCTTCATTATGTGTTTCTGCTTCTTAATATCTCACTTTGTTTCTATATGCTATAGTGATAAATTAAAAAACTTGGAAGACATGAAATTGTTCATTCCTAGTCTGGAAGGATTAGATTCGTGCGAATGACATCCGTCGTACCGGAATCACAAAGTAAGCGACGGTGCCATTCACACGAATCTAATCCTTCACTCTCGCTTGTTATGATAGTGCCAATGGTCAGTTTAACACTGGAACATATCTGCCACCAGAATAACTCTGTTTGTTGGCAAGAGAGGTGGGGTAAAGTTTCTCAAAAAGTTGTTCCAGCCTCTACACCTCATTAAAAGACCGTTTACACACAACTTTGGCGTTGCGTTAGCGTTGCCGTTGTTGTTGTTCTTGTTGTAGCGGCTACAACAACCCCGCCCAGATCGGTTGGTATCTCAGTCGTTGTCGTCAAGTTCCACTAACGGCAACCCTAGGAAGCGTGCAGCTTCTGTGGGGTTTGTCCACAGGGACAAGGCCGTTAGGGTTGTCGGGTTTTCCGGGCATGCGAAGAGATGTTTCGAGTCATGTGGGGTCTCTCCGCATGCCGGACACTCATTCGGCACATCCTCATTCAACCTACTCAAGTAGGAGTTCAACCTGCTGCAGTAGCCGGAGCGAAGTTGTGCGAGTGTTGTGCGTGTCTCCCGAGGCAGATGAAGCTCCGTCTCGTCTATGTCCGGGGGTGGTATGCCTAGAACGGCATTCACAGGTCTAGAGTCTACATAACTCGAGACTGAGTCCCTGTGAATGCCGTTCAGGGCCTGTCTGTAAGCTGTCGGGTCCAGAGGTTGCTTAATGAACCTCTGGACTTCGTCCGTCAGTTCATATAGATGCCTCCTGACGTGCCTAGGCGAGGGCTCCTCTGCAAGCAGCTGTCTGCTTGGGTGGCCACTTCTGTGGCTCCCGATCAGGAACTGCTTGCAGAGCATTATATTATGCTCCTTTACAGGGAGCATTTGCGCCTCGTCGTGCAGGTGGTGTTCAAGCGACATCAAGAGGCATCCCGTCGCTGTCCTGAGTGCGGTGTTCTGTACAGTCTGTAGCTTCGTCCACTGCGTCCTACTAGTCCCTGGCGACCACACTGGCGCTGCGTAGTTCAAAAC